ATACAGTATTACCACTGAAGTACATGACTCTCAAATAAATGCGTTAAATCAACCACAATTTTAACAAATTTAACAATGTTCTAAACATTCAGAGAAAAATCAATTGTGGCAAAAATTTTGATTTTTGACATAAAAATTACTGATATGACTCATTTTGGATTTGGGATAAAAACTACATAGCATATTGGAAACAGTTTAGATAAAGAAAAAGGATTGATAATGCATGATGGGAACATCACCACCAACATATAACTGGTGAAGGGGATCAGTAATTAATCATCTAATTAAAATTAATTAAATACAGACAAAGATTTATGGAAAAATGTATGGGAACTTGTCAAAAGCAGGATCTCACCATGAGAAAGCATTTATCAGTGTTTGCTCAGTTCTTGTTTTAGTTTTTTTGAAATGTTTGGTAAATGGAAGCAAAGCAGCCTGATAAGACGGAAACCAATCCTATGAGATAAGGGTGAGGCTGGAGATATCCAGCAGCAGAGGTCAGAGGTCGGTCAGGATCATTTCATCAACTCCCTGTGAGACACAAGTGTGTTTAGCGTTTCAACGAAATGCAACAGGGTAAATTCAATAATTTACAAGTTGGAGGAAATGAAGGAAGCACATCTAATATCAGATTCTTCTCTGCAAAGCTGATATATATGTGTGACACAGTCAAAATAAATTTTTCTGAAATATGGGTTTTCAAGTTTGCCATACAAGCATCCCTATTTGAATCAATAAATTTAAAAACAATGATTAGTCAGAGTTCAAAGTACAAGAGACCTGACAAAAATTGACAAAAAAAATGTTAATAATTAAATTGATACTTTATAATAACTCAACAAGACATATGGTGAGGACTAAGCCACCTGAGATGGAGGAAGGGGGCTGGGCCAGATTCTTAAATTAAAATTAAAAGAAATTCATTTATAATCATCATTCTATTCAATATATCCTCTAATTTGAGGGGAAAACTTTTTATTGATTCGCTCCTGTAGTTAAAATGAAAATATCCATTTAAATTTCCTACATAGAAGTCACTTATGAGACACTCTCCTTCAAAAAAGGCCATAAGTGAAACCCCCAAATTGACCGCAACATTTACAACCCAAAAAATATTCAAAATTGTGACATTTTTTTAAATAATAAAATGAAACAAGACAATACTGTGGAGTAGATCCCAAAGTGCAAAAACTCCTTCTATCAAGTTCACATTAACTTGGTCAATAAAATTTGGAGTCTTATAATACCAGTGCCCAACCTTAATAAAATTAGGGTATGAAAAGAATTCCATTATTTCCCGAAATGATTGATCACCCATGCGTGGGATTCCCTAATCATGACCTCATGTCACCTGCCGTCCAAGATTTCACTATTAAAGAAATAATACGCAAGCATGTTTAGCCGAAAAAACTGATATCACTGTCTGAGTCTGCAAATACACTGATGTCTCTGTCTCAAAGATAAATTTCACACATGCATATGAGACAGGGTCACATGAGACTGGCGAAACTAAAACATACAGAAGGGAACCGTGATAATCGTAAGGGGTACTTTACACATGGTCGACACAAACATTTACCATTTTTTTGTCATTGCATAAATGCAAAAGTATATGTATTTCATGAACCGCAAATACTGATAAGCAACGCAAATAAGTAGAACAATGACAAGCAACATACTTCTGAACACAGGTATGTGAACGCAATGGGTGTATATGACAGTACGGTGACACTCCTACCTGCCAGTGTGCTATGTACAGGTGAATAGTCCTCGGTGACGGTCACACTAAAACCATAACCAAGCGTGGCTAACAGTGTGGTGATTAAGATGACGGGGACACTTATAGAAGTGATCGCGCGAGCTGTACTTGAAGACATGGAGCTTTTGTGGAATGGGTTGAGATCGAACGTACTGTGCGTGATGAGCTTGATGTATCAACTAAAACTGACTGACGCTGGGTGGGTCACATGAGCTTAACTTATATAGAATGTGTGGTCAGGTTGATTTAAATGCTTTGTTGAATATTGTAATGGGGAATCCCAATACGTATATACGTAATATTCAAATTACAGTCTATGACCGCCCACGAATGGTAATGCAATAAACTAGCTGACCCCAACAAGCTCAATGATAAAGGATTGCAATGGGCGGGTCAGGTGACCAGCCTAATATGGAAAGCGGTGTTTTTATTAGTAACTGTTGTTAGGAAAACGTATGCTGAGTGGGCCAATCCATTTTTCTATAGGTGGGTCAGGTGTAAAAAGGTTGTGAAGTTCATTCACCTGACAGAGTCAAGGGAGAAAATGATCGGGAAACCCCACCACATGAAGATAGACAGTTCCTTTAATAGTCAACGTCACAATGTTATATTTGAAAAAGCACTTTCACTTGGGTGATCCTTGCAGTGAGAAAATCCACTCATGCAAAAAAACAAAATTGGACAAAAGCCAACGGTGACATCACACAAAACTGCATGGTCTATATATTCAACCAAGTAATGAACCATTTGTAGTTTAAGTAATAAAATACATACTGCTCTGTGTGTGAACCTTGTAACCTTAGCTGAAGGGTCAGTCCATTGCAGATAGCCTGCTATAAGACATGTACCTTTCATGGTTCATGTGATTTTCATAATTTATGTTACGTAAATTTATGAACAGGGATTCCCCGAAAACCGGAAGGGGACTCTTCCTACAAAAATGATCTATGTTCTGTGAAAATTGTGATTTTCACAGAAAAATATACTAGATGATATAATAAATAAATACACGTGTGTATTTTACTGGTAAATCTATATCTGAATATTTGACAGAATCAAATAACAGTAGTCTTATTGCAGAGCTGCCAACCTTGGAAAATCAGAATTAGTACTCAGCACCTACTAGATTCATATTTTCAACCCAAAATTTGTATTGTTTTAAGTTGCACTGTTTTACCTATATAAAGATCTGATCATGTGTTATCGCAGCGCTAATGCATACATAGGGTGGGTTATATGCTTACCGAAGTCCTCAACATTTCTACAAATACATGTAATATACTGTCAGGATTTAACCAAGTTTGAGTCGTAGATTGAAAATGCAGTCCTAATAAATCGTGTCAATTAGCTGATGATCCCATGAAATTTACACCACGTGAATTTTAGCAAAGATTACTTATTTTTCTTGGCTGCAGTAAAGACAGCCTATAGTACATGTTCGTATGTGACATTAGCTAATAAACCAAAAAGGTGAATTTCTGTTCGACACGAGATGTTACATAATGCTTGAAAGTCACAGACAAAACGACTGATGCAAAAATCAAAAACTTCTCCCTTTTTTATCCTCGGGGGCGGACATCCGGGCATTTTCTACCACCTGGCAACCATCGCGGTGAAAACAAAGACCAAAAACTCGCAGAAAACGGTACTTTGCGATGGTTGATGAGAGTCCCCTGAACAGTGTAACAAGATTAGCCCTACGTGTGTAACATATATGAATTTGGTTGTTCAGGATTACTTCAAAGTTGAGTTTGTGTTGTTTTCTCGAGTTTTCCCCAGCTCCACTGGCGTTCAACACAAAGCCCATAGAAATACGTGGTACAGTGGAGCGCGTCTTAGCAAGGTAGAACGTCCGTGACGTAGCTCCGCCCCTGAGGATAGCACAATGTCAAAGTGCTGAGCTACCAGAGGGTAAATTACATTGAGATACCTTTACTTCATCAAAATTGACCATCATCAAACATAGCACAATATTAAATGTGAAAATGATCTTGTCAAATCTCATGCAAAGTTTTAATGTCACTAGGACACTATGATGTTTATTTGTTTGTTAAGTTTTTATGTTTGAGATCTCGCAGTGAGCGGGAAAGGGTTCATTTACCAATGTTAGGTATACAGCCTTATGCTATTTAGAGGAATAAATTGCCTTGATGAAATACTTATACGCTCCTGAGAAATTTCCTTGGATAAAAATAAAAAAACATCTTATTTTAAGCTTGCGTGTTATTTGTTATGTTATTCAGCATACTTCGCAGCTTGTTCTTTTATCGCATTCAATACATCAAGAGGTCTATATATTCAGGTAATGTGACGGAAATATTTGAATCATGATAATTTGCCGTCTTTATAAAGGTGATACCAACATCAGATAATCAAAGTAGGCTTAGAAAGGACTTCTGTGTGCTGAAGGTATTGGAGGAATACTGTATTTACGAGTTTCATTGAAATGTCATGAGTGGTAAAGTGGTACTCAAGTTATCTGTGGAGCACCTACTGTGGAATACTTTATTTTGGCTTAGAATTAATTTTCGCTATTTTCACTGAAGCAATGATTTAGTGAAAATAAAATCTAGCGAATATACCTTTTTTCCTATATTTTACATTTAAATCGTCAAAAATCAGTGAAAATAAATTCCATACAAAACACCCAAAAAGTCTATTCAGTCAAAATAAATTCCAGCTAAAATAAAGTATTTTACAGTAAATTAATTAAACTATGTACCATGTTTCTTTGGAACTGATGAGTGGTTGAGATATTGATAGAAAAGTTGAATATTGGCTAATTAATATGCAAATTAGGTCATTAATATACATTACGCCAGAGCAACTATGTATCAAGTTTCATTGAAATCTGTTGAAGAGTACATGAGAAAATATTAAGGAGGCTTAACTAATATGCTAATTAAGTAATTAATGCGCACAGAATTTCAACCAAAAACTAATTATGTCTGTGCTTTACCTTAAGGCATCTATGTGCAAAGTTTCTTTGAAATAAATTCAATGGTACATGAGAAGCAAAGTGAAAATGCTTAAAATTGACTAATTATTGTGCAGATTAGGTCATTAATATGCACAGATTTCAACCAAAAACTAATTAGATCTGCGTATTATCCCAGAGCATCCATGTATAAAGTTGAAATCTGTTGAATAGTACATAAGAAAAAGGTGAAAATGCTTAAAATCAGCTAATTAATATGCAAAGTAGGTCATTAATATGCACAGATTTTAAACAAAAAACTAATGAGGTCAGAGCATTATCCCAGAGCATCTATGTACCAAGTTTCATTAAAATCTGATAATTGGTCCTCGAGATATCAGTGAAACATACACACACACACACACACACAGATGCAATAACTGTAAAGACTCCCATTGTTTGCTTCGCACTAACTGTAAGGACTCCCATTGTTTGCTTCGCACACAAGGGGTCGAAAAGAACCTAAACCACCCTCATAATTGTAAAGATCAAGAAAAAAAAAAAAACATACTGATAATGGCTGACGTTGACACCGGTGGATCAACCCAGTTGTTCCCTATACAAGTGTAATTCCCTGCGTGCTTAGACTGCAATGCTTTTTTAACTTTTACTCTTGAACTTGACCTACAGTGAAGAGGAAAAAAGAACAATGTTTCAATAATCGGCACAGAAGCGTTAATCACTTGGACAAACATTTGTATAGCATATGCAATACCTCACCACAGTATTCGCCTACATGAATATCTAAGCTTTCAGATGATATATAGTTTGTCATAGTAGCATGACTTTTAGAGAATATCTGAATCACAGATCAATTTATAAATTATCCCCTGTTGCTACATTAATATACATGTACCTATATTATTTTCAAACCAAAATTTGTAACTTAAATTATTTTTATTTTAATCACAAAAGCCACAGATCGCCATCATACAATTCTAAATAGGAAGAGGACAGACCGGCAAGCAAAATTATTATGAAAACATTTTTTTACATCACAGAGTGCCTACATCACAGATACACCATAAAGTTTCATTCTCAATTTATGTACTATATAAAGGACAGCTCCCACTGATTATTGTGATCACAAGAACTTTTCTTTCACTTCATTACGGGCAAGCTAATAAAACAATCAGCTAGGTTAGTAACAAATTCTGTTGTGGTGTCTAATCACAAAATCAAACATAATTTTCATTGTTTTAATCACTTTATTTCAGGAAGGTCTCCTAAATTTGATACCAGAATTCTGTTGGATAAGATTCCTCATGGACTGCACAACCAAAAGACCTTATCATAATTACAGAGGTCAGTGAGAGGTTTTCTGCAGAACATACAAAACAGAAATGCAACATTAAATTTCTCATATTTTAAATATTCTGAATACAATTAAAAACACTGAACATGCATCTCTATTTTGAGGCTCCCCCATTAAACATGAAAGAGAGTATAGAAAGTCTACTGAACTAATGTTAAGTTAGATAACAAATTTTACTACTTACTTTTTTGTTCTGACTCCTTGCGTTAAAACTTCACCGTCTTTTGTCCAACTAATTTCAGGTTGTGGAAAGCCTGCTATACCACATTTTAATGTAAATTTGTTTCCATCAATAACTGTTTTATTTCTTAATCTTTTCTTTATAGTGGGAGGTTGCGCTGTAGATAAAAAACAAAAGAAATGTAAGAATTCATTATCACCACTAGAGGGGGCTGTTACATATCAAAACTATGAACAAAGTTTTATTTGTCTCAGCCAGTCAGGAAGCTGAGAATTGTGCAAGGCATGTCAGTTATAGAACACTTCTTGAGATTAGATAATTTAAATAATTTGCACACAACTACAGAACTGAGATAGGCGTTCAAAGCAAACAGTGCCCTCTATACTCTATAAAACTACCAGGATAGCCACCTGTCTGTTTACGTAAACGGAAACTTGAAAAATGATCGGTATTTATTGGTAATCCTGTGAAAACAAAAATAGCCTTAGACAGAAAATGATGACGGAATAGAAGGCTTAGATGAAGTATGCGAAAGCTTCGCGTTCTGATCTCAGTTCACCAGGAAAGGAAGTTACAGTCACAGGCATGCAATAACTTTACCCTCAGCATATTTATTAAAATAAGACAGGCTGGAATGGCCTATATATTTGCAGAGATCTCTTTGCAATCAAAGCAAATTAATTTATATTACAATTATTGATGGGGTAGGGTAAACTACATGGACAGTGTGTTAACCCACAATTTCGTGTCAAAATCACAGTGACTGACACCTTATCACCTCCATCTTTAATTTGTTTCTAGTCAAAAATTTGGTACACTATTTTTATGTATTTTTACATAATTTGTTTATTTTGAACAAATAGATATAATTCCCGATTTGGCAACATTTAGAAAGACGAGCAGCCTCTTGGCTGAGACAGCTCCACTGTTAGCAATGCAAATTTCAATTAGAGAATTGCAGATATCGTCACAAAATTGAAAAATCTGGGATCTGTTCACATGAGGTACCTATTTGTATAATATCAAAGCCATCAAACTTGCAGTTGTCAATAAGTAGAAAAAAATGTCACTTTTTATCAAAAATTACAAAAATATTCACCAAAATTAGAGAATTAAAGCTTATCATGAAATGAACAAATCTAAGTGAGGTCTACCCAAAGCAATCAGGCTTGCAGTAAAAAAGTAAAAGTAAAAAAGTTGATGTGAACAATGGGTGATAAAAATTCACTCGTATGATAAGCTCCGCTTGACAAAGTTGACAACGGAACTAAGAAATTGGAAAAATTATGTGGGTTTAATTTTGTGAAAGCTGACAATGATGACTATGGCGTTCAAGGGTGTAACATTGCAGATGTTAGATATTACTAGTGACACAATAAGACCATTCCCTTCATTCATATAAATATCTATAAATTTCACAATTCAAAATGAGATGAGAGCCAATGGAATAACATTGGCACATTTTCAACTAATGACATAGCACTCTGCGCTCGTTGATTGGCTGCCATACCATTGAAATTTATAAAACAACGGGTTTGTTGTGTCGATAGTAATGTGTAAGTGTCACTTGTGTATAACAAGTCACCAAGTGATAAACTCCTGTCTGCTAAAAATCCTGTGAAAGTTTAATTTGCTTTGAAACAATATGTTTTGACAATCAAAACAAAAAAGCTAAATATATTTCTTAAAACGAGAAATCATAATTGACACATTTTTCTGAAAACTTATCAATATGCGCTACACGACCTCAAAAAATTTGTACATTGTTGCTGTTATGTACAACAAAACCCAGAAGTACCAGGATGTGTAAATTTTTTCACCATTCACAAAATAATCTGCACAAATTATTTTCTTCACCTAATGGCAATACAAAATTTGGGGAAATACTTCAATGTACATAATGTTGTACCAAAGTTTTGGGGACAAAAAGATGGTGTTGAGATGTTTAAAATCAAGTTAAGATTTTAGAAAATCGGCTGTCACAAACTGCAGAAAATATCTCTGCAAACAATTACAAATTACAGGAGTTCAGGAATAAAGAAGAAAAAAGTTTCCAAAATTCAGCACAAAAATGACAGGAAATGTGCAAAGTTGAGTCTGAGGGCTGAATACGCTAACTAGGGTGGGTTCACATAAATTTTTAAAAAGGTCAAAGGTTAGGGTAATACAAAAGATAAAAGTGGGGGAAATTCCTGCACCCTAAACTAAACACGCATTCCAGCCCACGCAATATTAATGACCTAGTTACACGTGTGCGTGAATGGCTACAAAATCACACACCGATGGACCGGACATCCGTATAAGGTGAAACTCATGAATATTCAGAACATGAAACTCTTTGCACTCACACCTGGCAACCAAATAAGGAAGTCAGTCATTGAGGCACTTTGCCAAGCCTCCACAACGACCATAAATGGCCATACACGCACAAATCTAAGTAGTATTCTAACTGGAAGTACTCAACTTCCGCCAGGCTTTTCTACGTCACGCAATAAATTATGTGAAATTTTGGGTGGCCAGAAGCCTGAGGAAGTAACAAAAATTAACATCAAATGTCGGAAAGTGAGTGGAATACATAACCAGGGGGGTTTTAACACAGCTCAGAGAACCGTGGTTCAGATGACATGTGGGTGGTATACTCAACACATAGAACAAAATACAGTAGAATGGTGACTAGTATAGCTGTGACACACTTTTATAAACCAAACAGATTACATGAGAACATGTTTTTGTATTTTTTACAATTATGTAATTTTCTTGAGCAAGAATTTCATTTTCTGTGTTTCAAGAACACAGCACATACGTTTTTAGAAAACTCACTGTCTTAAGAATTAACTATTAGATTAGAACTACGCACATTTTATTTCACTTTATTTTGACCGATTATTTATTTCCTAGATGGTGTGTTATTTTTATTTTTCTATATATAGTTTTTTTTATTTTCTTATTCGTTCCTGTGTAGACCCCCTCCCTATATTTCTAATTATCAAGCCCTTAATCCATCATAAAAAAGCAACCTGGATATATCCTAAATATGCCAGACAGATTATCATCGTAATTGAGATTTATCATTTTTTTTGATAAATTTTATAACAAATTAAATGTCAGACTAAGAAAACATGCAGCCTGTCGGCTAAGATAGTTCCACTGTTAGCAATGCACATTTCAATTAAAGAACTGAAGATATCATTAGAAAATGAACAAATCTGAGAGAGGTCTACCTGAGGTACCTATATGTATAGTATCAAAGCAATCAGACTTGCTGTTTTCAACAAGAAGTCAAAAATATCACTTTTTACCAAAAATTACAAAAATATTCACCAAAATTAGAGAATTAAAGATATCATCACGAAATGAACAAATGAGGTCTGCCAAAGGTACATATAGACCAAGTATCAAAGCATTCAGGTTAGTAGTTTTCATAAAGAAGTTGAGAAGTAAAAAGTTGATACGAACGACAAAATCGACAGTGGAGCTCAAAAATATAGTGAATTTTTATTTAAAAACTGTCAAAAAAAGTTGTTCTTTTATTTTGATTTGTTTAGAACATTTGTTCATTTATTTAAAACACCATAAAAAAGCTGTTATCATAATGATGACAAGACATATGAATATTTTAAAGAATTATTAATAAATAAATAAATAAATAATTAAATAAATTGTCATTCTAATCAAACATTAATATAGAATGTGGTTAAAGTAGCAATTAGTTTTCTAATATGACCATAATCACATCAATTATTTGGAAGCCACATTTTTCCCGCCAACATTTTGCACATTTTTTATTAATTTTGAACCAAACAAATATAATTTCTCATTGTTTACAAAATTGTTGAAGAAAAAAAAACATGGAAAAAATGATGTCTTATTTATTATTACTACTATTATGTGAAATATGACACAAGGTCAACAAGTTCGAGAGATGACCCATTAAAAACACTAAGCAACTGTGCAAAATATTTAAATTATTTACTTAATTTTGGGAAAGAACTTTTTTTTTCTGGATGATGATGCTGCATTTTTAATCAGAATATTTCATTTGCTGGACTTGATTAAGCAGTGATATTTGGAAAAACAGAATAGTTAACTTTTGTACATCTGTTCATAGTTGTCGTAAAATAGAAGAGAGAAAACATCAGTACATGTACTTGAACCGAATTGTAATTTTTGATATATTAGGAATCTTGGGTGTGGCCGAGCAATCACGCTTGATTATGTTCATTTGCTACATGCATCTTAATGTCTGTAAGATATTTCATATACAATAGCTAAAGTATGTGAAACACTTAAAACTAAACTCTAGTATCTAATAAATCATGCCAACCACGAGAATTGGCTTAAATCGATTTATTCTCCACCCAAAACGTCAACATATTGTAAACTTCAAGATACAGCGTACTGGGACAAACTGAAACAGGAGTACGGTACGTACGAGTACGGTACGTCAACAAACACTCCGGCGAGAACTATGAATGAACTTTGAAACAGCAACAACAAACAAGAAGAGTGAAGGAGCTTTCAAATCGGCAACAACTTAAAAGCCGTTCTTTAAAGAGGCGTGTGCATTTGTATTTGTTTCAAAATTCAACTATTTCCAACACTCAATGTTTTATTGTTACCGCGACAAACACTTGAAATGGTAACCATAGCAGTCGCTATGTAACAAACTTGTGAACGTCAATATTAGGAGCACAAATAACCTTGACCTTAGAGCAGAAACATGTTTGATACCTGGTCTGTGATCCAATGGTGAATTACACACAAGTCTGTTTAGGCTTGTGAAATACAATTGGCTAATTAATTGTTATGCACCATTTTTGTCGGCAATGAATGTCAGATAAACAAATTTTAAAAAGCCAAACAATTAGACCACACAGTGAGTTCTATTTTGTTAGAGATGCATTATCTTTCCCTGAAACTATAGCAACAAATATCAAAATAGCAGAAATATCATGAAAGTTGAAACCAAATATCCCAGTACATCAAGGCAACTGAGAAAATTGTTCTAGCTACAGAAAGATTTCTATTTTCAACTAAGTTTTAGTTAAGAAGGTTACAAGTAAACTAATAAATTCAGGCAGCTAAAATAATTCCTGTTTTGCAGATTTAACAAATTTTCAATTCAAAATGGCTGCCAGAGAAGTTTTTAACATGAGG